AGAAATATTCATATTTCCTGATGTATATATTCATTCCCTCACATTAACCCTAAACCCTTCAGTATTTATGATTAACCCTAATGTGACTATTGTAACTGTACCTAATTTAACATAAGTGCATGTATGTTCATATGAGATGTGATGTTTTCTTTGACTTATATTTTCAATTAGGAATGGTTTATTAGCATTTAAATTATTATATATTTACTTTATGATATATCCACTCTCCCCAAGTGAAAAAAATATTCATATGATTCACTTTATTTAGTTTTCTGTTTTAGAACACATATATCCATGTGTTTTCATACACATTTTCACATGTACATTCTTATAAATATACATATTTGATACACATATTCTTACTAAGCCTAACTCTAACCAACTCAATATATAATACTAACACTAATATTACCACTATTCCTACAACTAGTTTGACATAAATACATATTTATAAATATAAGATTCCATGTGTATTTTAAAATATAATTTCAAACCTAATGTTCAATTTTCTTAAAACATATTGTATATTCATTTTCTTAACTTGGGAAATAAATTTTGAACTGTATGTGCAATGTTTGTGTCCTGAAATAAAAAGTTTTTCTGTGTGTGTTCTTCAATTTATAAGACTGATTGGTGATACAGATTGAATTGCTTAGTGTACTGTTTTCATTTGATCATAAAAATGAACCGATTCATTGATTAATTGTTCAAATTATTTCTTTGCATGCATTCTATAGAGATAAATGAAAGATTTTATTCCAATTTTCAATAATTTACAATTTTGTTTTTGTAATAAATCTGTTTTTTGTCAAATTGGAAATTTTCTGTCATTTTTTTACATGAGTTATATGATGCAGAACTATCAGTATTAAAACTATTTTAGCAATAAAATTGTGAGTTGGTAGAGTTTTACTATGATGCCATGTGAGTTGGCAGAGTTTGAGAGAGTGAAGGCAAAGAGAAGAGAATTTCTATAGTAACAAGGCTGGCAATAAAGGAATCACATTGTCATTGACTGCAAACCTTATGGCTACTTTCCTCAAAACAACAACTAAATTTAACTCAGTGAAATTCTCATTTAAGAGAAATCCTTAAAATTGTTTTCTTCCATGAGGAATAAAGTCCAAAAGAAAAAGAAAAAGTTAACGGTCTTAATAAATTTCATTATCTTTCCTGATTTGAAAGTTTTCAGAAGTAGATCACAAGGCTGTGAACTGAAGGTCCAGGCAATTGAGTGTCCCCAATGCTTAAGCTTTACATTTTTCATGGTAATGGAAGACATCAATCTCCCATTCCACTGGCCCAACTAAATATATGACTGTGGCTAACAGGATGGAATTAAATACATTTTCTACCTTGTGAAATAGCATATTTATTACAGTGTAATCACCTACTGATATTATATTTGTTTTTAAAAAAATAAAAATTAAAGTGAAAAAGAAAAACTACCATGGCTTGTTTTGCTTGTCCAAGTGTTCAGGTTATGATTTTTATGAGCATCAAGCATCTTTAAGAAATATAGCAGAGTTGTTATCTCAGTACTCTGTCTATAATGATTAAAATGTTTAAATAATATGAAGGTAGGGACTACACAGTTAACTCTAGAACCAGAAGTCACTGTTCTGAGTTAAGTCTACAGGGACAACCTCAGAAATGGAAAATCATCGTCCTAAGATAAAAAAGTCACCAGGAATTATTTTCTATGTTGTAAACAGATATAACTTTAAGTGTTTGAAGAAGTTTGAATATATTTACTATTATTTATTTA